GCTGAGAATGTGCGCTAAGAACATGCAGGTGCAGGTGCTGCGCCACACCACATTGACTCAGCATCGAGCAGCAATACGTCTAGGAAAGGTGTTGCTGAGAGTTTCAACGACAATGACATTTTCAAACTTAAACTCGATGTTGGTTTGTGTAAATTGCAATGTAACTCCAAGGTTCTTTCGAATGAACTACCATATGCCACCCAGATCTGACTTTGCTTCCCTACTCAAAGAGATGCCTGCCAGAAGTGTATTCTGAAAATCCCGCATACCAAGAGTCCGAAACCATGTGTACCACAGCAGGTACATCACATTGGAATCTTCGCAGCCACAACCTCAACACCAGGATACATCAGTTCAATTTGCGCCCTCACCGCATCCCTCGTATACTTCGCCGCACACCTAATATTCTGACGAGATAAATTCCACAACATGTCCTCAGTCATTGCCACGCATATAGTATGTAGGCTTCGTAAATATGGCAACACCCAGCTGTTAACGGCATCTACTGGGTCCGCGTCGTACATGTGCCCTGGAAGCGTTCCAGCACAGATGATGGTATCTATCCTGAAGCGGATTTTGGTGATAAGCTCACGATGGGCAGGGTGTTGCTGATTAAGCCAAGTGGATAGAATGTTGGGGTCGTTGGCGTCGATGGTGAATTGGGCCCATGGCAGTAGTGCGGTTTCTGCATAGAGCTGGCGCCAGGTTGTGAGAAGTGTAGTAGCTCGCGCTGGTTTGGAATGTTTTGTTGTTGCGCCGAGTGTGTGGATGTACTTGATGCGACAGATTCGTTCTCCTATGGCATGCCTGAAAATTTCATGTCGTATTTCAGGCGGCAGCTTCAACAAGGGCGAGTCTTGCTGATTCTGTCTCGCGCTACAACAAGTCAGTATCACCCTCCCACCTCATTTAAATCCCACTTACATCTTGAGGAACTTGCCAGTCTTGCGCTCGACATCCAGTAAACCATTTTCGAAGAACCGCACCTTCTTGTATCGGCGCTTTGTGACCCCGGCCGCGGTGTCCTTCGAGGTTCCCGTGGGCAAGGTGAAGGCCTTGTTGGTAGGCTTTCGAGGTGCCATACTGGGTAGCTGCGTGAGTTGGGTTGGCCTGGTAGTGTAGCTGAAGAGTTGGAGAGTCAGGATCGATGGGTTATAAGTAGAAGGGGTCAAATGGCTAGTGTTTGGATAGGTAAAGGTAAGGAAACAAGTGAGAGAAGACGAAGTGAGAGCATAGGAAGCTATGGTAAAGATGAACAGACAGTCAAAAGGATGGCAAAGAGATCTCAAGACGTGAGAGAGCGAGGAGGAACAGTTCGGAATCTGTATGAAACCTGTGATGCAATTGAGGAAGCTCAGCTTTACCTAAGATCGCGCCCACATATAGTGCCAAAGACTCATCTCCAAATCATAGAAGCAATTCCAAATAAGCGTGACGTCCATGCGCTGAGTGTTTGCGAGATCTGCCGTAGCACGTCTCGTGCATCGCAAATCGGCACCCGCAAGTTCTCGTTCGCGTTCGAGCAATCCTTCTTCAGCTCAACGTCACCTGAGGCATGAACTTTACGCATCTTTCAATGTCCGTGAACACAAGGGCCCAGTGTCCACGGCTGCTACAGCTCAAGCTAGGTGAACTAGGTCCCCGGCTGTTATTTCAGAGCGCATTTGGCTAAGACCATCCTGAAGATTACTCCGTCTAAGAGCAGCCCCTGCATAATTATAATGCCAGCTGAATTCGAGTCAGCTTCTGAGATCTTGTGCATGGTTCTGCTAGCTGACGTGACTCACTCATCATCGAAAGCCCTCCAACTCATGCTCATCTTCTCGATCGTGATCTCGTACCCTTTAGCCAGCATGGCAGGCGCAATTTCTGATTGAAGGAACGCCTCACATGCAGCAAAAGGTTGTTCCTCCCAATCGTCAGCGAAGATACAAATCTTGATGTGCTGCAAGCTTGGAAGCTGTTTGCGATGGTCCACCCTGCTAAACATTCCCCTCGCCCGATTCCTATTGTAATCGGCCCTCATATCTCTCGATACTAGCTCGAACTGCACTTCGCGAAGTTGATTGCCCTGGAATTTGCGGAACGCACTCAAACTGGACTTCATCTGGTTGGACAGATTCCACGAAAACGTGTTGGCAGAAAAGGGAAGAAGCGCGGTCTCGGCATAGATCTGGCGGCAGGTGCGTAAAAGCTCGAAGGGTTTTTCGCGTTCGCATGGCCTGAGCATCAAGACGCTATGATCGCGGATGCCGTAACGTGTATCGCGGATCAGCTTGCCGCCCAGAACGAGGTGCCAGATTTTGTTACGGATCTCGGAAGGTAGACGTAGAAGAGGCGACGCCTGATTGTTCCTAACACTGGTTGGCAGTCAGCCTCTCGCGCGTAGGGAAGAGATGCAGTTGACGAGTTGCAGATTTCAGCGTATGATTACTTACAGCTCTCGCTCATGACCCTTGGGCGTGATGTTCAGCATTCCGTTCTTAAACCTATGGTACCCTCGAGCAGGACGCTTAGCAATACGGCCATCGCTCTTCTTTCCGGCGGGCACTTTGTCACGCTTCTCCTTGTCGGCTGGCTTGCGAGGCGCCATGGTGGTTGCACTTGAGGTTGGAATTGACGTGGAGCGAGCGGTAGCTGGTGGTAAATCGGTGTGCAAGATGTAGGAAGGCCACCAGTCGGGCACTAGTCAATGAGACGGTGATGCGAAGAGTTTGAAGTGAAGATGAAGATGAAAGAGGAAGTGGCAGTGAAGATGAAGATGGAGCTAGTGACATGCGCCAAGAATGATGAAGATAGTATTTTGGTGGTGACTTTGATTTATGGGCCCAACGTCAGACGGTGCAGTGTCCAGTGGTATGTTGCAAGCTGACCATCATAGCTCTGCTGTTCGCCATTAACGGCATCGCATGCACTGTTCATCTTATCACGGATTAAGCTCTCTGTATCTTCAGGTGCATCGCTACAGCTCATCTGTATCTTCCTAATATATGTCAGTATGTCCTCATGACGGTAGCAGGCTGACGAAATAAAGGCCGTGTAACGTGCTCAGAGAGAAGATTATTCTTACTCGTCACTGACAACTCCATACGATTCGAAGCATCAGACTGCAGAGAAGTCCTCAGCCTCGCCTCAAGCATGGTGCGGTCTCCGCCTAAGGATGACGATAACGTGATTTTCATCATTGCAAGTAGGATGTGAGGGAGAAAGGGAGAACATACCTTCAATGAGAGCGTTCGACGTTTACAAGCGACTTCTCGAGCCTGAAGCTCTGCGCTGCCGAGACAAAGTTGTCGTCGAGTAAAGCGTCGTGACTGAAGCCCATTGATTGCATGTGCCCCATCAGTAGTCCAAATCTAGAGCCTCCTCCTTTAGAACGTCTGGACCGTTCGCCTGGTGCCACGGATCCCACTCGTCGCTCTCCTCATCCCCTTGCTTCACTTGGGGACTTTCGCTCTGTTTTTGCTCCCTATTGAGTCTCATCTGTCTTTTCTTTATCTTGTACCTGTCTCGGTTTCGCTTGTTCTTGGCCTTCGTTCTAGCACTGCTGGTAGCCCACTGCTGTGACTTCGGTTGCACCGGCTGCACCGAGTTCGTGGGTGCTGATGCAAGGCTCGCGGCGTCTTTTGCGTCGTCGGAAGCCTCCCCCTCTTCAGACACCTCGCCAGCTTCTCGTCGCTCCCGCTGTAGTCTGCGCTTGCGGAGGATGGCCTGGATCTCCGAATGACGGAACATGGCGATCTGCTCGTCGGTGAGGGTGCGCTTGGTGCCGTCACGATAATAGCCTAGGCTGTCGTCTTCCTCCTCGTAGTACTCTTCCGTAGCTTCAGTTTTGACGCCATGGAGGATGTGCTCGGGTGTAGGCGCATTGGGGAAGTGTTGCGCGTGAAATGCGACGAGATCGTTCTAGAATATCAGCGCATTGTACAACAGAGCTTAGACAGAATAAACTCACAATAGTGACAGTCGGAATTTCTAGCGACATATTGATGGGTGAAGACTATAAAGAGAGTACTCAGATACAGCCCTATGAAGGGCACATTATCACATCGGTGAAGACATTAGTGGACCAAAAGTCGCAGTCGCGAATGTGCAAAGGATGCCTGCCGATCATTCACGCGCTATCACGAGGCTTGGCTTCACCGCGGCATGACGTCTGTGCGTACCACCTCGAACAGCCGCAACATACAAAGCCTACCACAACGCCATACCTACAGCCTCTAAACGATCATGAAAACTCGATCAATAGTTGCATGCCCTCTTGCAAGCGTTTGCCTATTTCTTGCTTGCTCCGCAGAGTCCCGCCCGTTCGATACCATCCGGAAGTCGTTCGACGTCCTCGGCGAGCAGTCACCTTTGCACGACCTCATAATGCCTCCTGCGGAAGAAGTGTCTACTGGTGTGATCATCTCCGACGTCATCGGGAAGACGCAAAACATAGCCATTTTCAGCGGTCTGACAAGGGACATCGACGCTGTAGCGGGGCGCCTCGACAACGCCGGACAGAACGCCACGGTTCTCGCACCAGACAACAGCGTGATGCGCGGTCTGAAGAGGAAGCCATGGGAAGATCCTGAAGACTACGATAGCTTTGGCACAAGCGCATATGAGGGTAGCGCAGGAGAGGACCGAGCGCGGAAGAATCTTGAACGCTTCGTGCAGAGACATATCGTACCTCAGAGTCCATGGGAGGAAGGCAAAAAGATCAAAACTCTTGCTGGTAATGAAGTCTGGTGGGAGAATAAGGACGGCCAAAAGAAGGTAAGTCGTTGTGTATTTCGCTTCTGCGTAGTCGCCGCCGGGACCCACTGCAAACACTTTTTCAACCCCACATGAGCCCGACCTCTTGTTGAAGCCTGAAAAGAACGGCCCACACACACAAGTCTCTATTCCTGGGTCCCCAGTCGTGTTACTCAAGTACACACTTTTCGTTTTCGACCCTATTTTTTTTCTTCGTATATCTACGAGGTAGAGCACCAATACTTCATCAATACCACCAAGGTGAGATGGCCGAGTTGGTTATGGCGCCAGGTTAAGGTTTTCTGCATTCGGTTAGCATCGTCTACAGTTCTTAACGTATTTCCTGGTCACGAAAGTGGCGTGGGTTCAAGTCCCACTCTCATCATTATTCTTTTTGTTTTTTGCCCACACCCACCACTACCTCACCTCAATGGCGACAGTAACAACACGAGCCGGCTCCTGCGCGTCGCTTGTTATTGTCTTTGTATCTGTCTTTTTTGCACTGATGACTTTTGCATCTTACCAAGAGCTGACCAATTTCGCAGATCCAGCCGGGCAATGTCCAGGTCACAAGCATAGCTGACAAAGTCTCCAACGGCGAGGTATGGATTCTGGGAGGATCACTGGCATAAGCACGGAAGTCTGGGGACACGACATTACGAATTCGGCTGCACATGCTGCTTACGACGAAGATCAATCACAAGCACTACTAGTGGTTTGCCCTCATGTTGACTACCAAGGAACTCGTTCATGGTTGGTAATGCATCACGAATTTTTTTTCTTGTCCTCTACATCCAAACTAGAAGCCTGTATGTCCTCACAGCACTATAAGAGAGCTTAGAGATTTCAATAGGGATTTGAAGGTAGACAGGAAGACGTCATTGTACAGTAGCTGCTGGTTAATTTTGGTGCAATACCAAATACGAACTCCTTCGTAGACATGGTCATCCTTCATTGGCATTCTCGGAGCGTGGATTCTTCTCATTGGTAACTCAAGAGAATAGTCTCATTTTGTGCTTGTCAGATCACCCAAACACGAATGTTTCTTCAACTAATAAGCAGTCCTGTCTAGACTCACATCACTGTGCATTGGTAGTTCGCCACATACAACCCAGTTTGTAAGCTAGACCAGGTCATCTTCCGACAGCTGAGCTAAGATGAGCCATGCTTTCCGAGCTTCAAGCTCCAGAGCTCCCCTCCCCACCCCCACTTTAGCAACTACATAAACACCACACCACAGCATGGCACGCCAACCATATACCACGCGCTCAGCAACTACATATCATACCCCACATCCCACCCCAAAACCACCAACACCACCACCATGAACTTCCAATCCGGCGAGCTAGCCATTTGCGAAACATGCGGCACCCAATACGACGTCCCACTGTCCTCGCCCCCAACCAGCTGTCGAATCTGCGATGTCCGTACCGCCAACCCTCCCCCAACTTTCCACTTTACTAACAACACATGTAGGATCCCCGCCAATACGTTCCCGCCTCAGGTCAAACATGGACAAGCCTGTCTCAATCCCTCCAACAAAATACCTTCGAAACCGACCCCTCGGATCCACGCATACACTACATATCCACCAAGCCACTCACGCCTGCCGAACTCCCCGCCAGTCTCGCATCCTCCACATCCACGCGCAAGCAACTCGGCATCGGACAGCGCGCCATCCTACTCGAAACGCAGCATGGAAACGTGCTCTGGGACTTGGTGGCTTTTATTGATCAAGAGACGGTGGATTTCGTGAAGAGTAAAGGCGGACTCAAAGCAATCATAATAAGCCACCCCCATTTCTACACCACGCACCTCGAATGGGCGCGAATCTTCGCATGCCCCGTATACATCAGCGCTTCCGACTCAACATGGCTCAACCGCACCGATACAAACTCAGTGCGGCGCTGGATCACCGGTACACAAGCAATCCCAGAAGTCAATGGCGCAGTGACGGCAATACAATGCGGGGGCCATTTCGACGGCAGCTTGGTTTTGCTATGGGAGAAGAAGTTGTTTATTGCGGATACGATGATGAGTGTGCCGAGTGGATTTTATCACAAAGATAGATTACCAGGCACAGTGAGTTTTAGCTTTCAGTGGAGTTATCCGAATTGTACGTCTAGCATGCCCTCACACCCCTCTCCCCCCTACCAGTCTCGCAAGTGCTTATTGTGTTAGTGATTCCCCTCCCGCCGTCCAAGATCCACGGGATATGGAAAGCCATCAAGCCGTTCGAGTTCGATACCACGTATGGTGCGTTTCCGGGGCAGAATGTGACGCGGCCGGATCTGAAAGCGCAAGTGTTGGAGAGCATGAAGATTTTCTGTAGAGTGGGTGGGCACGAGAATGCTGCGGTGTATGAGGAGACATTGTGAAGCAGAAGAGTCGGGACAAAGTACCACATCACCCTCACTTTCAAAACCAAAAAATGCATCAAAGACGTTGTTCAATCTCAATTGCTAAGACACTCTTTGTACTCTTGAAAAAAAGACCCCCATTTCCCATTCTCAAAACGCATCAGCACACTCGTGTGCGCTGGCACAGACGCAGGCCTTAATCCGAGCCGCTCGCCAATCTCGTGCTAGAAATGCTCTTGAAGCAATATGTTACATGTACAGTGCCGCCATGACTGCGTGACTCCAAGAATGGGTCAAAAGCTGTCCGTGAAAGACTCGTCCCTTACGCTCCAAATCGGTGCTCAATCGTCGTGCTCAAAGAAGAGTAGGTTTGCCCTTAAGGTGCGGCAGCATCTGAAGTTGCTGGCGCAGACTCGGTGACAGTCAAGGCCTCGACAGAGGCCTCCACGCTCGCCTCGACTTCTGCCTTGACCGCAGGCGCATCCTTGCTGACCTCCTCCTCTGCATCAGCCATTGGCACGTCACCATTTGTGGCGATGGTGGACTTGGTGTCAACGACGGGCTCGGCAGGTGCGTCGTCCTCCTTCGTCGCCTCCTCCTTGGTATCGACTGGCGATTCCTCCTTAACGGGCTCTGATTTCACCTCCTCCTCGTGCTTGACACCGTTTGTTGCTGGCTCCGCGGCTGGAGTAGTGGTCGGTTCCGCATCAGCACTGGCGAGCGCGCCACCCCACTTAGTGAGCAAATCGTTCGAGCGCTGCTTGAAGTTGTACTCCTCCTCCTTTGGGATGGAGTTGAGCTTGATGATAGCCTTGAGCACTTTGTGGACCTTGGTCTTCTTGATGACCTCGGCCTCGAGATCCTCGTGAGCCTCGAGCTGCTTAAGGTAGTCCGACATGTTTGCCATGTCCTCGTCCTTGGGCGCTTGGTCGCGCGACAGGAAACCCTTCTGGAGGCGGTGGCGAAGGTAAAGGACCTGCTTCTCCCGCTTTTGTAGGCGCTCCTCCTCGGTCATTGGAGGCTCCTCAGGTTGAGGGGGTGTCTGCACATCTTCAGATGCCTTCTTCTTCGACTTCTTAGGCTTCGCTGCAGATGCATCCTTGGGCGGCTTGGTCGTCAACTTGAGCTTCGTCTTAGGAGTCTTTGCAGGCTGTTAGCGGGTTAGTGGTCGCAAAACACAGAGCACTTGGAAAACGTACCTTCTCGTTTTGGCCATCGCTGTCGTCCTCCTTCTTGCGCTTCTTTGAGGCCTTTGCCTTCTTTGCAGACGGGGCAGCGGTGCCATCAGCAGCGTCCTCCATCTCGACATCCTCCGAATCAGCAGCAGCTGTGCTTTTGCGCTTGGCGGACTTTTCAGCTTTGTCGGCCTTTTCCTTCTCCTTCTGTTCGCGCTGCTCGACGTCTTGCAGCATGGCAGCCTCGTGGTTAGCAAGGACTTGCTTGAAGTGTGCCAGTTCATGACCCTCGGCCGCGGTTTGATATGCCTCCCACAGGGCCTTGTTCTTCTTTCCTTGTTTACCGGTTTCGACGTCCTTTTGCACATCTTCGAGGCTGAAGTCGAGGAGCTCCGTGTTGACTTGCCATGCGCTGGGTATGAGTTAGCTGGTGTGATTAGACGCAGTCTCGCACGAAAGTACTCACAATTCGTTGGTACCCAAAAACATGACGGGATACCGTCGATCCTTCGCATTCTTGCCGCCCTCCAGGAAGTCCTCGCGATATGTGCCATCGATACGCTTAGCGCTGACAGGGCGCTTGCTGAGAAGCGACTCGGGAAGCATCTCTTCATCGCAGATGATGATCGGCCAGGGCTGATATCCGCGCATCGCGACCATGTACATCTCGCCAGGCGACACGTTGAGACGAAGCTCGGGTGCCTTCTTCTTTCCCTTGGCTGGTGTCTTCTTCTTGTGTTCTGGTACGCCAGCTCCCGACTTCCGCTTGCCATTGAGCTTCTTGGTGGCTGGGGTGCCATTCGTCGTGGCTGCGTCGATAGCTGCGGCGGTATCTGTGAGGCATAGTAAGCATGTATCCAAGAGCACTAGGACTTTCAGGCCAACGTATGACTGCCTGAGCTTGACTCACCTGCATCCTCACCAGCCGCCTCAGTCTCTGGCTGCGCGTCGGCAGTGACGTCGTTTTGCGCGACGGACTCCTCTTGAGCGTGGTCGACCTTGGGAACTAGGTGGTCATCCCGTTAGCTTCGTATGCACATGCGTGCGCACAACGTCACTTACCTTCAGCGACACCCTCGGTGGCTATAATTCCGCCCTCGGTCGGCTTAGCCTCAGCGACGGCAGGCTGTGCGACAGCGTCTTCAGAACGCGTAGGCTCCTCGACAGGCTTGGTGGTATCCGCGACAGCGGGTGAGTTCGACTCGTCGGCCATTGTGCGTGTCGTGCTTATGTGGCACGGGGTGGTGTCGACGCGTAAGGGAGGCAGGAGGTCGCGATATACCTCGTCGAGATGTCAGGCGCAATGGCAATGACGCGTGGTTGATGAGTGGCCGTGGGTGTTGATGGTGTGGGAGGCGAGGTGGTTGGGGAGTGATGTGGGGGAGATGAGAAGGCAATGAGCTTGGGAGGCTCCTCTAGAAAAATCCGCAGCCCTGAGCGCCAAGCCCGTTCCAATGACCAAACTCTTGCCACCAAATCACGAGTCTAGATAGCCTCGACAATTCCGAGGGTGTTCACCCGACTTACTAGCACCTCCGATTTCTATTTGCTGGCCTTGCAGCTGCCGTGCGTCGTGTTTGTGATGTTGTTCCTGCTATCGGTGCGTTGAGTTGGCGCGCAGAGTTTAGGTCCGTGCTTCTGAGTACAGAACGGTCGCCCTCTGGTCGTCCCCTCCGATGCGAGCTGACCTTCCAAGTCCTTGACACAATCCGCGGTAGAAGATACCTTCAGCACCTTGCGGGTGATAGCTATAAGCCTGTCTTTCTTACTTTGTGTCGACACAAGACGTGCCGAAGGCGGTTCGTCGGGGTGGAGACGCCAATTGCGACCTGGACTGCGCTTTGAGGCAA